AATAGATAACTTATGCTCTAAACGTCATCCAGTGAATAATACTGTATCTAGGCAGCACTGTTTCAACTACAGGCGACACAGACTAGGATGTCAAATCCAGGTTCGGAAAAGCAAGACAGGCGTTTATTAGCCTGAAACCAGTGTGGAGATCTTCTGCATTCAGCATGTGGAACAAGATCCGGATTTTCAATACCAATGCCAGTCAAGTCAGTGTTTCTGTATGGCTCAGAGACGTGGCGCATTACGAAAGGGATTTCCAACAAACTACATATATTCAACAACAATTGCCTACGCTGGCTCATTACTGAAGATCAGATGGCCAGAAAGAATAAGCAACAAGGAACTCTGGGAACAAACCAAGCAAGAACCTATCACTCAACAAATATGCAGAAGAAACTGGAGATGGATTGGGCATACACTGAAAAGGCCGATTGGGGACATCACGCCCCAGTCCAGGCACTCGAGTGGAACCCACATGGGAAGCAACGAGTCGGGCGTCCGAGGTGAGGGTGACATGGAAGAGATCGTGTGAGGAAGAAATGAGAGGTTGTGGGCAGTGGTGTAGCCAGGTTTAAAAGATTGCAGAGAAGAGAGTGTAATGGAGATGTGCTAGTGAAGCCCTATGTTCCATTAAGAACCCAAGGGATAAATAATAATAATAATTTCTCACGTTTAATGGAATCACTGTGTTATGTGAGTAACGTAAAAGTCAGACTATACGACTGAGGTGGCTTGGATATTTGTTGCGCATATCGAGCTACCGCCTACCTTCGATGTGCCATGTTAGGCTAAACTGAATTAAGTTTAAAAAGGGTCTTAGGGTAGCTAGACCATGAATTGACACCAGTTGATGAAGTCCCTGACTTGTTGATCTGAGCTGTTTGGAGAGAATTAGAATACACGGTTGGAATCCCCGAGACGAAAGGAATTCGTCGTCACACTGGTACAGACATACTCCTTGCTTGGAATTTTCTGAAGCTTGAAAATTTGAATTATCCGTTATCTTCAGATTTTTTTTGTACTCTCACATCACTTTGTATATCAATGTAAAGTGTAACACCTTGAGGAGATATACTTTTGTACAAAGTCTACGTTGATTCTCTCTGTCTACCTATGGGTTTTGAGATGAGGTGACAAGAAACAGTGGATCTAAGTTTTGTTCTTGTCAGTACACATCTGCGAAGTATATGTGTTATTGTGAATAAGCTTGAGTTACTTACTTTGAAGATTTTTAATATACGGTGATGAAACCAGAAGCTTCGAGATTTGAATTGATTCCTTGTAGAATTGAAGTATGTTCATGAACCGTTCACTTGTCGTTGTTCTTTGTTTTTCTTCACCGACGTAGCTGTCAATTCTTTTTTCAAATTATTTTTATTATTATTTGTCCCTTGGGTTCCAAGTGGAACATAGGGCTTCAGTAGCACGTCTCCATTACACTCTTCTCTGCAATATTTTGAACCTGGTTCCACGACAGCCCACAAGCCCTAATTTCTTCCTCATGCCATTTCCTCCATGTCACCCTCAGCTAGGATGCACAACTCATCGTTTCCCATGCGGGTTCCACTCAACGGCCTGACCTAACCTGGCGCGTGACATCCCCAATTCAATCTATCTCCACTTTCTTCTACTGCATATTTGTTGGACGATACGTTCTCGATGGTTGGTTCGTTGCCCGGCCAGAGTTCCTTGTTGCTTATTCTTATTATTATAGCCATCTGATCTCATCCTCAGTGTCAAGCGTAGGCAGTTCTTTGTGTATGTATACAGTTTGTTGGAAATGCTTTTTGTAACGCACCAAGTCTTTTAACCATGTAATATAGAAGCACTGACTCACTTGACTGAGATTAGTGTTGGAAATCGAGATGTTGTTCACGCTTTATGCTGAGATACACCCCTGACTGTTCCTATATAATATCTTGAATACTGTTTTCATATTCACCTAATGATTCATTTCGATGAAGATGTTTTGGCTATAGATGAAGATGGTTGTCTGTTACCTGGACTTATCAAAGTTTATATGTTACACTGTTTTTAAAACCATTTGTGTATATGTTCACCCAACCTAGTCTGAACATCAAGAATGTATACCAACACATAAATGTTAATTAGCAAACATAGTGGGATATGACATAATCATTTATGCAAGGAGTTGATGTTTATGTCGAAACAGGTGTTTTGTTGTCTCAACAATGATAAACTGAACTGAATATCAGATTTTAATCTCTGTTTCAATATCATAGTCATTGTTTCCCCTTTGTATGGGTACTTTAAGAAATATATCCTTCTTCGGGGTTAGGCATTTTCGACAATGGTTCACAAACTGTAATAGATATCCATTTTCCATAAGTGTGCCTATCAGACATTCGCTCTCATCATTCATTGTATGAGATGTAGAAATAAGTTGGATCCTATTAAAATAACCATCTTACTAAGCTTGTCTTATATTTCCTTGAACAAAAGCTGTAGAACCTCAATTACCATCCTGTTCAAGTAGACTTTCTATAGATCAGTTGTCTGATGGATCCATCTTCTCTGGAACACAAGATTATATCAAGAAATGCTAGTTGGTGGTTATATTCCTCCTCATATTGACCTATTTATGTCAAGGTAACTGTTAATCCTTCATACTGTGTAGCAGGAAAATAGTTGTCATACATTCAAAAGGTGCAATTATTGTTATTCTGGAATAGTAGTTCGACTTTTTTGTAATGTTTATCATGTTTGACTGTTTGATTAGTTTCTATGTGTTTCAAAGGTTAATGAATAGGGTAATATTTTTTTGTTTTCAAGATTGGTTCTACTTGATATGAATTATATTCTTATCTCTTATTGCTTGTAAATACCAAGTATCAACAAATAATAATAATAGGTGGCTATCATGCCTTAGTGGGTGAATAAATAACGTTACAACGTTAGATTCAAGAAGTACAAATCATGTGCAACGTCACGCATCATGATAGAAGAGAGCATGGAATGGCAGGCAACTCAACTCTACCTCAACTTCATCGACTTTGAAAAGGCCTTCGACAGCGTCGACCGAGACGGAAATTAGCAGGCAGTTACTTCAACACCACGGAGTGCCAAAAACCTTTATTAACCTCATTCAACAACAGTATGAAGACGCTACATGCCAAGCGGTTCATAGTGGGAAGCTCAGTGACGCCTTTGAAGTGAGGACAGGAGTAAAACAAGGCTGCCTTCTACTATCACCGGTGATCTTCTTGATTGTGATGGACTGGATCATGCAGCGAACTGTGAGGAGTGAGAAAATTGGCATACGCTGCGTGCACCGATGAAATGACCCCAGAAGGAGATTTGCATCTCGCCGACGATGATGATTTATGTCTAATATGTTGTGGCACAAACTTGAAGATCTACAGGCGAAAACAAACAAGTTGGCAGAAGAGGTGAGGCAGCAACGACAGGACTCCAAGTGAACGTAGAGAAGACAGGAGATGAAGATACCCAACCAATGCCACCACCAACAACAACAAGCTCCAACCACGATGAACGGGAGAAATTTAAAAGAAGTAGTCTTTTTCACCTATCTAGGCAGGATCGTTTCAAGTAAAGGCCGTGGCACAGATGAGGATATCAAAGCTAGGATCGGAAAAGCAAGACAGGCGTTCAACAACCTGAAACTAGTGTAGAGATCTTCTGCCCTCAGCATAAGGCGCGAACAATATCCGGATTTTCAACACCGATGTCAAGTCGGTGCTCCTATATGGTTGAGAGACTTGGCGCGTTACGAAAGGGATTTCCAACAAACTACAGATATTCATCAGCAGCTGTCTACGCCTACGCCTGCCTACGCTGGCTCGATACTGACACTGAAGCTTAGATGGCCAGAAAGAATAAGCAACAGAAAACTGACTCTGCGAACGAACCAATGGACAACCTATCACCCAACAAATATACAGTAGAAGAAATTGGGGATGAATTGAGTATACACTGAAAAAGACCATTTGAGGACATCACGCGCCAAGCCACGCTGTCGAGTGGAATCCAAATGGGAAACGACGAGTTAGGCGTCCCACTTGAGGGTGACATGGAGGAGATCGTGTGGGGAAGAAATGATAGTTTGTGGGCAGTGGTGGAGCCTGGTTTGGAAAGATTGCAGAGAGGAGAGTGTACTGGAGACGTGCTACCGAGGCCATATGTTCCACTAGGAACCCAAGGGATAAATAGTAATAGTCATAATAAATGACGTTTGAAACAATTTGTATTTAGTTCGAGTCCTAGTGAAGCGAACATTTCCCACTAGGAGGCAAGTACATCCATGTGATGAATCCTCAAAATAGAATGAAACTTGTATCATGCTCGATTCCACTCCGCTAGAAGAATATTCATTATGAAAGTTTGCTTGAAAATATTTTGTATCAAATTTTTTTCGTTAAATTTTCTCCTATACACAATTACCCCTCTCATATACAAACATAAACATATCTGTCCCATCTACTATTCAAACCTTTTTTATCTCTTGGTATAATGATTTTTAAAGTAGTATTCATCATGGACTGACATCAGTTGAGGAACCATTGAAAACCCGGTAGCACTGGATAGCTGTTTCGTCCTAGTATAGGACTCTTCAACGTTACGCACCCACTACCCGGTTAGGGATCGAACTCAGGACCTCCAGGTTTCACGGCGAATGTGTTAACCATTCAGACACTGGGTCAGTTTCCAGTGGTTCACAATTTACAACTTCTGTCAATTCACGACATAGCACGACTATTACCCAAGGTCTTCAGTTAGCAACCACTTCACTTACGATTGGTTGACTCCACAGGTCACGGTTTCTCATTAGAGCTTCGTGATATCCATCTGGAAGCGAGTCACTAATGAGCACTATACAATAATGCATTTTTCAGGATGCGTTCAGATTTTCAATGGTTCCTCAACTGTTGTCAGTCAATGATGGATACTACTTCTATATTTTAAAAAGTCCCCATTTATCTCAAAAATCCGTAATGAACTTTATCTATTATTTTATTCAGTTTAGTGGGATTCGATATTTATTTCAATCTATTATCACCTCCAATTTATCATATGGATTGGACACAAACTATTGAATGTTATCGATTTATGATCAAGGTAATTGTTGCTTTATTATTTGTGTGTGTGTGTGTGTGTGTGTGTGTGTTAAAAGCGTTAAGTTTTACTCTTTTTTTTATTATCTGAAATTAATTTACATTATGACTAAATGAAATCAACATTGAAGATAGTTAAGGAAGAAATGAGCATACTGAACGATGCAGGTATCATAGTTACCTTTTCAGACTATACTTCAGTAATTGATTTGGTCCTGAGACGTGGACAAGTTAGCCGAGACAAATACTGAGTCCTAGGTAATCATTACTATGATTCATTATTTTTTTCCTTGAGTTCCTAGTGGAACATAAGGCTTCAGTAGCACGCCTCTATTCTACTCTCTTCTCTGCAGTCTTTTAAACCTCCCTCCACGACTGTTCACAACCTTTCATTTCTTCCTCACATCATCTCCTCTATGTCACCCTCAGCTGGGACGCCTAACTCGTCGTTTCCCATTTGGATTCCACTCGAGTACTTGGCCTGATGCGTTATGTCCCCAGTCGGTCTTCTCAGTGTATGCCCAACCCATCTCCACTTTCTTACACTGCATATTTGTTGGGTGATGGGTTCTTGCTTCTTTGGTTCGTTCCCAGAGTCAGTTCCTTGTTGCTTATCCTTATTATTCTGGCCATCTGATCTTCAGTGTGAGTATCGAGTGAGCGTAGGCGGCAGCTGTTGATGATGATTGTCTGTAGGTTGTTGGAAATGCTTTTCGTGACGTGCCAAGTTTCTGAACCATATACCATCACTGACTTGACTGACGTTTGTGTTAAAAATCCGGATGTTGTTCGCGCTTTGTGCTGAGTGCAGTACATCTCCACACTGATTTCAGATTTCAGCCTATCTTGCTTTTCCGATCCTGGTTTTGACATTCTCAACTGTGCCACCTGTAGTTGAAACGAAGCTGCCCAGCCTAGGTAGGTGAAGGAGACTTCTTCCATTGGGTATCTCCTGTTAATGGTGATTGATGCTTGTTGTTGATGCTGTTTTTGGTTTGATATCTTCATCACCTCCGTCTTCTCTACATTCACTTGAAGTTCCGTTTTCGCTGCCTGGCCTCTTCTGTCAACTTGTTAGTTTTTATCTGTAGATCTTCGAGTTTGTGCGACAAGACACTAGACATAAATCATCGTCGGCGAAATCCAAATCTTCATCTGGAATCTTTTTATCGGTCTAGCCAGCGTATGCTCATCTTCTCGCTATCCCTGGATAATCAAGCGGTTGGATTGTTTATTTTCCCAAGGAGCTATGCTTTCCTTGTCTTTTCTCATTCTTTCTGCATGACTTACCATCTTCAACTGGTATCAATTTCATTAAATATGCTGATTACCTGACATTTTCTATATCTATCTCCTCTTCAGCAGATTGTTCCCAGCTGTGTGATTTTCTATCTACTGTCAGACGATAGTCCTCCATGAATGGTCTTATACTTAATTCTGTAAAATGTTAGACTATAAACTTTAGTTTCAGATGTTAAAACTGCTTAGTTCTCATGATTACTGTTCCATTGATAGTAGTGCCAAAGGAGAGTGTTACAAATGTGATTTATCTCGGTGTGCGTTTTCCTTTGAACCTTTCCTCGTCCTTCCATATCCCACTAATTTCTAAAAGAATTTTTTGCCTACCTTTCTATATTAGGAAGCTGAGAGTATCTGGTATGCCTCATCCTCTCCTCTTGTGTTTTATAAACTCTTGTATTTTGCCTGTTCCCCTCCATTGTTCCCCTTCATTTTTTCCCGGGTTAGTGAAAAAAAGACTATTCTGCTGTATTGCGTAGAACTTTCAGGATTGTCAGCAAAACTAGTTGTAGACAAACATCTTAACTCATATAGACATCTGGCAGAAGTTATTTTATCAGATGACCAGCTTTTTTCTCACTGGAAGCTCTCTGCGTGTTGGTCATCTTGAAAGACAAGGGCCAAGCACATAAGACTTTATATAAATACTGCTACTGAATATAAAAACACTACTATACCTTCCTCGCCTAGTTTGCTAGTTCACTAGCAGGTCCTAAGCCCGGATAAAGAGGGAAGGTTGGGCATAGGGCTAGCAACCCAACAACAGAAAACCAATCCAATCGCTACAGAAATTTCAAAGCACAAAAAATATATGAAATAAAAACAAACTTATTCCTCACTGGAATCGGGGAGACGAAATGACACCTACCTAGGTGGCATCGCTTCAACTACATATGGCGACGGCACGGATGAGGACGTCAAAGTAAGGATCGGAAAGACAGCAACACAGGCCTTCATTATTCTGAAATCAGTGTGAAGATCTACTGCACTCAGCATAAAGCGTGAACAACATCCGGATTCTCAACACCAGTGTCAATTCAGTGCTTTCATATGGTTCAAAAAGTTGCCGTGTCACGAAAAGCACTTTTAACAAACTACAGACATATATCATCAACAGCTGCCGCCTATGCTCACTGGATACTGACACTGAAGACCAAATGGCCAGAAAGAATAAGCAACAAGGAACTGACTCTGGGAACGAACCAACGAAGAACCTATCACCCAACAAATATACAGTGTAAGGAAGTGTAGATGGTTGGGGCATACACTGAGAAGACCATTTGAGGGCATCACGCACCAAGCCAGGCTGTCGAGTGGAATCTAAAGGGGAAACGACGAGTTAGGCGTCCCAGCTGAGGGTGACATTGAGGAGATCGTGTGAGGAAGAAATGATAGTTTGTGGGCAGTGGTGGAGGGAGGTTCAGAAGACTGCAGAGAGGAGAGTGTACTGGAGACGTGCTACTGAAGCCCTATATTGCATTTGGAATCCATGAGAATAATAATAATGACAATAATTTTTTTGAGTAACGTGCATACTAAGCATATCGTGGTGTATACTACTCATTCAAATGCATTTAAGTAGTGGTGGTAGTAGTATATATATATATATATATATATATATATATATATATATATACTAAGACGTCATCGAACAAATTCAGAGGAGCAGCCTATCAACCGGACTGAATGAAATAATACAGCTAGAAGATGAATATAGATGTTCTTTTTAACACCCGTAGTGCTTTTCTCAATGCTGTTCTCATCAATATGACCTGAATGTGCCTAAAATTCGGTAAGCGTAGTTATGTTCGAATCCCTTATTTATCGATTGAAAGTAAACAAGCCAGTGAGGAATATTTCGAATATGAATGTCTTTAGTTATATAGGTATTTTTACGGATATTATTATTATTATTATTATTATTATTATTATTATTATTATTATTATTCAAGATATCTTTAGAAAATCCTTCACAATCTGGTCAAATGAAAATTCGTCTACATGCACCGTATGCATCAACACCATGTATTGATATACCAAAACAGGTGAATAATGCCTCAAACTTATCAACATATTCACAAGTATTATCTATACCTTTATCAACAACATTATTGTCTACACTACCACCAGAGACAACATCATCATCTGAAGATGGTCCACATAGGAATAAAAAACAAAGGATACTTGTTCAATTTTGGAATCAATTTAACACTACATCAAAGATATCAATTGAAACAAATTATATTCTACCACGTGGTATATTAGTCATTATAATTGATAGTTGTACATTAATATTGGGTATTATCTCGTGTATTCTATGCATTCGATCTATAATTCAAGGATTTCATATGTGGCTTGTAAGTTCACCTTTATACTTGATATATATGTCATGCTTCCATAACGCTAATGGTTATATATATATATATATATATATATATATATATATATATATATATATATATATATATATATATATATTCCGAAACGAATATAATACGCGCGCTTAGCTGACAGCTAACTTAGTATGCCAGTGCCACTGACTACAGTCCCGCAGCGTATAGAGAGAAAACCGTAGCTGGATGATGGGAGAGTGTATTACTCTAAGAATATAATCATAAAATCAATCCGAAAACACTTGAATAAGTCATACAACACATGAAAAATGACCTTATCATCAATTTGATGCATTTGTACAGTAAGAGTAAAGATTAATCAATTAGCGATTTACATTACAATGGAGGCAGAAAATAGACTACTAGTTATATTGTAAAAGAAATGGTATGGGAATGACACGTTAAAATGTTCAGATCAATAACAATGTTTTATACAAAACTGTGGCAGCATAACAATATTATGTTTGAGATGAATGGTGATTTTTAATTTGGAGGTAGTATTCATCATGGACTGACATCAGTTGGGAAACCATTGAAAACCTGGGAGCACTGGACACCTGTTTCGTCCTAGTATGGGACTCCTCGGCAGTGTGCACCCACGACCCAGCTAGGGATCGAACTCAGGATGGTCAAGTTTCACGGCGAATGCGTTAACCATTCAACCACTGGGTCATCTCAAAAATACATTACTGCATAGTGCTCATTAGTGACTCGCTTCCAGATGGATATCAGGAGGCTCTAATGATAAACCGTGACCTGTGGAGTCAACCAGTCGGAAGTGAAGTGGTTGCTAACTGAAGACCTTGGGTAATAGTCGTGCTATGTCGTGAATTGACAGAAGTTGTAAATTGTGAACCACTGGAAACTGACCCAGTGTCTGAATGGTTAACGCATTCGCCGTGAAACCTGGAGGTCTTGAGTTCGATCCCTAACCGGGTAGTGGGTGCGTACTGCTGAGGAGTTCTATACTAGGACGAAACAGCTATCCAGTGCTACCGGGTTTTCAATGGTTCCTCAACTGATGTCAGTTCATGATGAATACTACTTCTAAATATTATGTTTGACTGTTTTATTTATTGAATAGACTGTGGTAAGTGTGAATGGATTCAATTGATTTAGGCGTTATTACAACAGAATTTCAAGATGAACTGAAGTAAAGAAGAATAAATAAACAATGAAATGTTGAACAAATTTTATCTTCACTTTTGCGAACATATTTATCCCCCTTTGAAATTGACTCCTCTCTTTATCAAATTTATCATCTTAAAGGTTTTTAGGTATGTAAACTGATTATTGATGAGTTTCAACTTCCCTCCGTCATTGGGTTGTTCAAAAGTTTTTTGGTTTTTTTAGTTCTGAAAACCATTTGAGTCTACAGTGGCAAAGAGTTTTTATAACGTAAGGTCACCTACTTATGATTGGGTGATGATTGAAAGTGGAACGAAAACTTGAACCGCGGTCAGTTTGGAACCAACGATCATTGGGTTTCCGGCTTGATGCTGTACCAACTGAGAGCTACGAGGTTTAACTGCTGATCAGATTTTTATTTTGCTTCATCAATCACAAACGGGGTTTCGCTTGACTATCATGGGAATTCGTGATGCGTTACTACCACTCGATCGTATTCACACTGACTACCTACTTACGACTTCTTATTCCAATCGAAATCTAACTGAATAAGGGAGGAGTGTAGCATCATACTGATCATCATTTGACTATCTGAGATAAGTGTAGTTTGGCAGAAATGAAAATTTGAACGGTGACCGGATTCGAACCATCGACCACCGGGTTACTGACTCGATGATCTACCGACTGAGCTACGAATCGAGCTCATTTATGAAACATTCAGTGTTATGGGTGAATGGAGGTCAAATTGAATGGAATGGTGAAATGGTAATCAGTTTAGTGTTCTGCAGTGAAATTACTATTGACAGAACAATTATGAAATGAGGAGACGAAATCTACAGATTCCTTTCATAGACATTTGTTCGTTTGCTAAGTGTCAAATAATAATTATATAGTGATCTTGATGACTAGCAGAGGAATCCAGGATGCGCGTTTCGTCCTACTTTGAACTCATCAGATGGATATATCTGCATCTCAGTGCGGAGTAATATTGTTCCCACTGAGGCTGGAACCCTGTACTCATTGCTTCAAGCGCCAGATCGTTATGATATGTCTTCACTTATGTCAAGTGGATATAGTTAGTTATAGACATGAATTCGATTGAGAAAATAAGGAAGTGCTAAATGAATAGAGGAAATGCGAAGATGGCTAGACAATGGTTAGAAGCTACTCACTCAACCTCATTCAGTCATCGATAGATATATATACATATTGATACTGATTTAATCCATAAATCTTATAGGTTACTTCATTCTAAAGTTTATACTGATAATGTTGTCTAGAATGACAATGAACGTTTCATGATTAAATCAATAAGCTTAGAGAATACAAAACCATTTGAGCTATAAATATTCTCTAACATCTTATATTTCTCTTTAAAAATGAAATAAACCAAACCGTACCGAATTTGCCTTATGAGTATTGGTATTCACAATTATCACAGTTCATTTCGTAAACTACACCAGAATTGTTAAATGCTACAGGTCAATTCACCTATGGCGTATGTACCTTCCCATAGATGTTATTCCGTTTGATGAAGGTACATGTCTTATGGATAATTACTGAGAAACACAATATCTGTGCCTAACCTCCACACTCTTCAAGTTTCAGGACAAAATATACAGACAAACAGAAGTACTAGCAATGGGATCGCCAATATACCCAATCGTAGCAGATATATGTATTTATGGATAGTTGGGGAAAGCATGCTATCACAAAGGTTTAGTCTTGCACCAATAACATACTCCCGATATATGGATGACACATTTACTCTGTTGAAATGAAAACATATATTGACAATTTGTTCACATATATAAACTCAGTAATCGACACAATCGAATTCGTTTACGAGGAAGTAGAAAATGAACAAGGAGAATTACCTATGTTGGATTGCAGGATAAAACGAGAGACAGATGGTGAGTGGTTTGCATACTCCCATCTACACAAATCCAACACATTCCAAAAGGGTATCTAGACTTCAAGCCATCTCATCCAATGTCAGTCAGTTAAAGCAGGATTAGTCAAATGTCCAAATGATTGAGTTAGAAAACTGACTAATCAGTGCAACGACCTAACCAATGAACTGAAGCACGTAAAAGAAGCACCAATAGTTAATAATTATCCTCTACGGTTTTTACGAAATTCGTAGGAACACATAAGAAACGAAATGATAACAGTAACACGAGTACGAATAATAACGACAAGAAGAGTAGAAAGGAGTTCACAGTCTCCATTGTGCTACCCTATAAGGAAAGTACATCAGAAAGTTTATGTAAGATCCTCAACAAGTCTGAATTTACGTTGACATTAAAACTTACAAACTCACTCACAGATAAACTTTGTCTGTTGGCTTAAGGATCCGATAGAATCAATTAAGCAAAATAATCTAATCTATCACATTCCATGTAATGACCATGAAGTCAAGTACATAGGTCAAACTAGCCGATTGGGGTCAATTAGAACAGTGGAACACAGAATTTAGCTGAATATAAAGTGACAGATCCAATGAGATCAATAGTCTGGAAAAGCACTTGATTTATTGCAATGTCTGCATTAACAAACAACTACACATGTAACATAAATGCCGCAACACCCATGTGTACCAGAGATATGCAGAACTTACTACCAACAGAAATAAAGCATAAGATGTGACAGGACTATAGAAAGCAGATGTCGAAAGTAGAATGTGATTACATTGATATGAGTAATAAATAATTTATGCTCAAAACGTCATCCAGTGAGTTGACAAATCTACTATGGAGTTGAATTCTACCACACAGCCCAATTTTTACACTTACATTACCCGTTTACTAACCACTCGCTACAAACCAGTAAATCATCTTTGAACAGAAAAGGAACACCACCACCACCACATACCGGGAAACTGATTTGCGATGATCATATCTATTATGTGAATGACATCCATTTGGTGTATATACATACACGTTGAGCAGCCTAGTTTACATGTTGTCCAACAAATCTGTGTGTGTATGCATAGCACAATGACGATTAGAATGAGGATGGCAAAAGTGAGAGAAGATAGGCTATTCTCCTTTTCCATACTGAGTGATGATTGAAGGTGAAAGGAAAATATGAACCATGGCCGGATTGGAACCAGTGACGACCGGGTTACCGGCCCAGTAGCTTGGCTTTTAGCTCAGTTGGTAGAGCATCAAGTCGATAACCCAGTGATCGCTGGTTCGAGCCCGACCGCAGTCCAAATGAACATTCTTTTCACCTACATTCATCACTCTGTACAAACACTAATCTACCAATATCAATCTGATCACACCATAATGACCTGGTCAGGTCGAACATTTCTCTTCACACCTTGAAATTATATGCATACTAACATTTATGGATTATGAAATAAGATCGATTTGAAAGTTGTGTGAACAAGAGACAGATCAAGATTAGTTGGTTGATGGTAATCGACATGAAATGCTAGACCGACGATTCCGTACTTGTTGACATGAATAGGTCAGTGATAGGTCTTTGGATGACGCAGGTTTCGATCTCATACGAGGCATCAATTCTGTCGACGTTGCAGATACACCTGGTTGATGAGTATGGACAAGCGTGAAACCTAAGTTCAGAGGTTTCTGCCGATTACTTATAACCAAATAACATCTATCGATGTCAACCACAATGTTTAGCCTTCAAGTATACTGGTCATATTGAAAATACCATCGATACAATTCGATTTGTACTAAGGAGTAGATGATAATGAAAGTGGTTGTTGTCTCATGACATATAGAAATTGTTTCACAGTCTAATGAAGATGTTACTTCTAAGGTAGTAATAGTAGTAGTAGTAGTAATAGTAATAGTAGTATTCACCACGAATAAGTATTAATTATTGAAAACCAATAAGAAGTAAATTGGATATCAACTGAAGAGCATGGATGGGATAGTCACTCTATATCATCAACTGTGTAGCATCCAACTCAAACCGAGTGACCGAATAAATAAAACACTCTCTGTGAAACCTGAAAGTTTTGAGTAAGTACAACATGAGGAGTTTCATAGGAGGAAGAGAAAGTTCTTCTCTAAACGATGTCAGTCCATGAATAATATTGACATTCAAAAAAATATATTGTAACAGTCACTGAATCGAGATTCATTTCAGTGTGTTAACTGTATTCACAGTCTAATGCTTATAGACTTAGTGACAAACGGATTGACAAGCGAAAAAGAAAAGGTAGTTGAGTTATATGTACATGGATGATTGAGTTAATGTGGGAGTGAGCGAGCAAAACGGATGTATCAGTTCACACCACATGTCACACAACCATATCGCATCATTGAACAATAGACAAATGAGAAATATGTAAAAAATATTCAAATGGAATAACGATAGGACAACTAGTGGAAGAGATTTATATTATTATAATTAGTTTTCCTTTGGGTTCTCTAGTGGAACATAGGACTTCAATGACACGTTTCCATTTCACCCTCTTCTCTGAAGTCTTTTTAACCTGACTCCACAATTGCTCATATGCTTTCATTTCTTCCTAACACCACCTCATCCATGTCACCCTCAAACACTCAAGGAGTCATTTCCCAGTTGGATTCTACTCGAACACCTGACCTGTTGCATGATTTCCTCGAATGGTCTTGTCTGTGTGTGTCCTATCTAATCTATCTCCACTTTCTTCCACTGTATATTTGTTAGGCGATACGTTGTCGGCTGGTTGATTTGTTGCCAGCCAGTCAGCCAGCCGCAGTTCCTTCTTGCTTATTGTTATTATTCTAGCCATCTTATCTGATATTAAGTATCGAGTGTAGGCAGTTCTTCGTGTAACCCACCAAATCTTTTAACCATATAATATAAAAGCACTGACTCACTTGACTGAGATTATTGTTGAAAATCGGTATGTTGTTCACGCTTTATCCTGAGTGGAATGGAGTGCAGTAGATCTCCACACTAATTATTTCAGATTAATGCAGAAAGGTCTGGGTTTCCAATCATGGCTTTGACATTCTCATCTGTACCGTCGTTGCCGCCTGTTGTTGAAACGATGCTGCCTAGTTAGTTAGGTAGGTCAGTGAAACGGACTACTTCCTTTAGATTTCTCCCTTTCATGGTGATTGATACTTGTTGATGCTCATGTTGGTTAAGTATCTTCATCACCTCTGTCTTCTCTACATTCTCTTGAAGTCCCGTCTTCGCTACCTCGCCTCTTCTCTCAACTTGTTACTTTTCCCCTGTAGATCTTCAAGTTGTGTGACAAAACATTCAACATAAGTCACCATCGGCAGCAAAATTCAAATTAGGAATATATACATGATTATTATTATTATCATAATTTTCATTTGTCCTTTTGGTTTCTGTTGGAATATGGGACTTCAGTGACACGTTTCCAATTCACTCTCTTCTCTGAAAACTTTTCAACCTCATTGCGCAACTGCTCACAAGCTTTTATATCTTCCTCGCATGATCGCCTCCATGTCACTATCAACAGAGACGCCCAACTCCTCTTTTCTCAGAAATAAAAATTAGTTGTTTGAAGGTAGTCAACAAGAAATCCTAGACCTATGATTCTGTGGTTGTTGACATGAATATGTTCATGACAATAATATGTTTAGGTGGAAAGAGAGATAGAGTTTAATTGCTGAATCTTCACTCATCGAATCAACACCCAGCCATCGCCTGTAATAGGAATGACGCAAAACTCATTTATACCAGAGATATAGAATAGTTTACTACCTTAAAACAAGAATATGAGGTGGATGATAGGATTATATAAATCAGATGTTTACATCTCTGTGTGATTATGAGCAATAGAGGATTGATGCTTGAAACGTCATCCACTAAGTGTTACTCTATCACTCTGCATTATTATTCATTTCAACAAATCTAATATGGTGTAGCACAATATTTTATTGTTCAAGTAATGTTTTACTGTTATTTCTTGTGTTAGTTAATAAAGTTATCTCTTGCGCATAGTAGTTGATTTCTTTTCTCTCCTTTTTTTTTTTTGTATATACTCAAATCAATAGGAAACTGTTAGATTTTTTAAGCATTGGTTTGGTATACAATTAGATGGTGTATTCTGGGAATTTATTCGTCCTTGGATTCTGTTTATTATTATCAATGATATGATTATTATTACAACATCAGTATATGCATTGAGTACATTGAATCGTGTAAGTTTTGTTTAACTGTTTAAGTACAAATAATAACCATAGTAACCGTGAATAAATAAAATTTATTTAGATGTTAACTAGTGTCCTGAACTACTTGTTTCTTTCATCTTGTCGGGACTTCATCCAGTTGGTGTACATCTCTCTACAGGTAGTCAAATATCTTGCCACAGGTGATGTTAGTTGACAAATCCTAGATGCGTCTTCTCTATCCGAACTGAGATTTCATCAACAACCAACTCGTTCGGGGTAATGCACCTCTTGAGTAAGTGAAGTGATGCACGCATACCACCACTTTATCGTCTATCATTAAACTGGGAATTCTTGTAGTAGACCATTCCTTGAGCATCATTTTACATTTAACAGGTGATAGCGAAATACATACCAGCCAAACATACATAGATTTCTGCTCAACACGTTTAGAAGACCCTGCATTTTGTCATTGTCTTCACCTACCAGAACAATATTGTCTGCATACTCCAGGTCAACTAGATGACCTCTGGGGAGTAGGTCAACCTCTGCGATGTCAGACGTGTACCTAAGGTTATATCCATTAGTACGTCTATGATGACGTTAAATTGGGACAGTGCTAGTCGAGATCCCTGGAGAACAGCACTTGTTTTCATCAATTCTCAAGACAACTTTGTATCAACCGTTGGGCAGCTGTATGAGTTCAAGTACACAGCTTTGATCAACGTTATATACTTTCTTGGGACTCCCTTCACTCTTACACACTGCGACACAACATTTCACGTTTGACAGAGTGAGATGCCTCCTTCAGGTCAAGAAATGTGAAACGTATCAGCTACTGGCCAGTAGGTATGCTTGTGTACCAGAACCTCTTGGATGGTAGGAATATGATCGATGCGCCTTCATCCAGCCCTGTCTGAAACCTACTTGATTTTCTCGAGTTCGCTATTCTTGAGCTTTAGTTTGGCGTTGGATCTTGGACACAATATACTTCAAACTAATTTCTCTATGGTTGTTACAAGAAGATTTCTCTCCTTTCATATAGACCGGGATAATCAATGAAGTAGACCAGTCTAGTTGGATTATCTATGGACTTCACACCCTCCCTAGTACCTCCCATCACTCTAATCACCAATTTTCTACCACTATGGTTACAAAATTCATGTGGCAAACTGTCATTTCAGGTTCGATACAGCTTCCTCAACTTCAAGGAGAGTTGGAGGACCGACATCTGCGTCCCACTCGGGTTCAGACTGGATGTTAGACAATTGAAACGTTGCTGTAAGCCAGTTGAACTGTGCTTCAAAGTGTTCTGCCCAACATGGTAACAGCCTGTCGTGGGTGATTATCAGCTTCCTATCCTTTACGATGATCGTTTCACTCATCATCATCTTCTTGCTGGTATCCTTAATACGCCTAATTCGTTGCAATATAGCAAGCAAGCTAGGGGGCTCACTGTCGTGATGCACTTTGATGGATGTTTGTTAACGCGAGGTGATCGTTGGGAAGCCTTATATGTATATAAACTTTCATTTGTTCTGTAGATATTCAGAATGGCCATAAAACTCGTCATGGGTGGACAAGATAAACAAACGGAAGTAGGCAGCATAATAGATGTTTTACATTCCAATAACCATCCGGAGAATATCGTTTAGAAGATTGAATGCCATAACCATAAACATCTAAGCGGACAATCAAATGATGAGTCTTACGTTAACACAGTAGCTCTACCTTACTGCCAAGATAGAACTGAAGTCTTACAAAGTGTTTTAAGAAAACATCGAAAAACAACACTTCCAGGAATGCTTTAGTCCACTTAAACTACGAAATTTCTTTCACCTCCACACAGAATTGCGTCGACAAGTTGATCTATGTCGATTATTATAATGGGGGAATTACCTGGTGAAATCATCACGGAAGTTACATAAAACCACCGCCAAATAATCTTGCAGAATTAGAGAATGTACAAATCGGATTGGGAATTGCTGCTCCCATATTCTTATCATACCTGAACAACATGATCTGATTTCGTCTCCACTTACTATTCAAATAAGCGATAACTTGTGAAAAGTTTTATTCTCTGTGGAACTGGCTCTCATGAGACCATGAAACGTCAGGAGATTGTCAAAATTCACCACAGTCACATCATCTGTATTGATTGTAGGTGATGAATGAAGGTGAAATGTAAATTTGAACCGCAGTGGGATTCGAACCAGCGACCAACCAGTTTTCCCTCCTAGTCCTCTAATAACTCAGCTGCCATGCCCTACTGCTGACCAGATTTGTATATGTATCTGTGTTAATTATCTTTTTCTGGTAATGGTGAGTAGTGGCTAGCAGTGGAATCCAGCTTGACGCACTTTTCGTCTTGTTTCGGACTCGTCAGTAAGAGATATTGTTACCACCAGGACTCGAGCCTAGGAACGATGGCTTTAAACGCCTTTATCTTTTCTCTTGTGGTTTCTTATACACTTCTAGCTTAATTATTGAGGAGCAATGTTGTTCATTTTTGGTTTTACTGCTAAAATATTTTGTTCTCTTACTATAAACATAACGTCTAAATATCAGTTTAAATGTGTAGGTTTTCTTCTTTATATTCTATTCATAGCTCTCTAATTCATATGTAGACTGGATTACATTCACAGTATCAATTTCTGGTCATCGATAGCCGTATTGGGTGGGAAATCAGCGTAGAGACTGGCTACATCAAAGCTGATCCGTTTTTTGAATTTAGTGGGTGGTTAGTGGGTATTTAGACATATATCAAATCGGTATTCATCATAGAATGACATCGGTTGGAGGGAAAATAGAAATCTGGGAGCACTGGACAGCTGTTTCGTCCTAGTATGGGTCTCGGTAGCTGTGCGCACCAACAAACCCCCTGAAATTCAATTTAACTAATGCTCATTGGTGACTAGCTTCAAGAGGCAATTCCCGAAGTCTCAATGAGAAGTCATGAACAGTGGGACAAACCTGGTGGCGTGAAGATAAATACTCAACGATGACATTGAGTTTCGGTGGGGCTATGTCGTGAACTGACAGAAGTTGGAAATGTGGACCATTGGATTCTGACCCCGTGGCTCAATGGTGACCTGCTGGCCACAGAACCCGAAGGTCATGGGCCCGACCCCTCGCCGAGCGGGTTCATGTGTGCACACTGCTAGGGATTCTCATACTAGGACGAAACAGCTGTCCAGTGCTCCCAGGTTTCCATTGTTCTTCCAACTGATATCAGTTTCTAATGAGTACCAACTTAATCCGTTTCTCCCACCATCTCGTAATTGAAATGGTGATTAAGGTAGTTCTTAGCATGGCTATTCACCGATGAGCTTTCTATCTAGCCGACTGTATTTCAGAATGCCTCGAAAACCACCTTCAAAACTAGTAAGAGGCATCTAGATATCTTCGTTTCGACTGAGATGGTGCTTTTTTTATAAAATAGAAAAACCCAGTTTGATAACTGACTAGTTGTTAGGCTGCCCTGACTTTTGAAGTAATTTGGACATAAGCTTTTACCAAGTGAGCTACCTAACTCAGTTGTTGCAATAAGCCATTCGTTCGAGTCTTGCTACCACTTAGGTTTTCATCCCACCTTCAATCATCACCTCACCGTCAGTAACACTAGCCTGGTAAACAAAGTATTATTATTATTATTAGTCCCTTGCGTTCCAAGTGGAACATAGGGCTTCATTAGCACGCCTCCAGTGACCTCTGTTCTCTGAGATCTTTTGAACCTGGTTTCACGACAGCCCACAAGCTCTCATTTCTTCCTCGCACGACCTCCTTCATGTTAACCTCGGACGTCCAACTCGTCGCTTCCCATGGGGATTCCACTCGAGCAACTGGCCTGACGCGTGATGTCCCCAGTCGGCCTTCTCAGTGCATGGCCAATCCATCTCCACTTCCTCCTGCATATTTGTTGCGTGATAGGTTCTTGGTTGGTTCGTTCCCAGAGCGAGTTCCTTGTTGCTTATTCTTTCTGGCCATCTGATCTTCAGTAGCGAGCGCAAGCTGTTGTTGATGAATGTCTGTAGTTTATTGGAAATCCCTTTCGTGACGCGCCAAGTAAACAAAGTATAGTTGTCACAAATCGTCTCACTAATAATAATTTTCCTCCCATTTCGTCTCCATTTAATGTTGTCACATTGTGGATTACATGCGGAATCCCTGTCACATAGTATATCTATACATATTGTAAAGTTTCTCATTCCCTTTCTCTTGAATATTTGCTTGGTAGATGCATGTGAAATATGAGCCATTGACGTATTTAATGGGGGTTGGTGCCTTACTGGTATGGATTGGTATACTCTACTATGTTGGATTCTCATATGACAATAGTGTGAGTTCTATGGATTTTTCGGTTATATATTTACACTACTAATGAGTAGTTTAAATCAATCCATAAAAACGACTGGTCACGATGTTTATGCCTGAATTATCTAGTTGTATCCCGTTCTCGACAATATTTATTGTGTATTTTTGAGATGAATGGGGATTTTTTTAATTTAGAAGTAGTATATTTATCATGGACTGATAACAGTTGAGGAACCATTGAAAATCCGGAAGCATCTTGAAAAACACATCACTGCATAGTGCTCATAGTGACTCGCTTCCAGATGGATATCAGGAGGCTCTAATGAGAAACCGTAACCTGTGGAGTCAACCAATCTTAAGTGAAGTGGTTGCTTACTGAAGACCTTGGGTAATAGTCGTGCTATGTCGTGAATTGACAGAAGTTGTAAATTGTGAACCACTGGAAACTGACCCAGTGTCTGAATGGTTAACGCGTTCGCCGTGATTTCTGAAGGTCCTAAGTTTGACTCCTAGTCGGGTCATGAATATCTACTGCTGAGGAGTTCTATACTAGGATGAAACAGCTGTCCAGTGCTCCCGGGTTTTCAATGGTTCCCCAACTGGTGTTAGTCTATGATGAATACTACCTTTAAAATATTTATTATACTAAAAACAGTGTTTAATCTCCTCCGTACCTTAATTAATATGATCAGCACTTCGAAAAATGTTTTTACCTAACGTCTCAACACCGGGCTATATTTGTCATTTCAGTTTTTATCCGTGCTGTTTTTATTTTGTTTCTGCTCATTGATCAAACTGATTAATATTCTGTTGTCATCAGAAGTATACTTTATTGACGGTAAGGCTGACCAATCAGGTTGAGGATACAGCATTCAAGGTCATTGGTTTTTGTCCATTTACCGTTTTTGTTGTCACTTTACAAGGTATTGATGAATTATAACGCTGATTACTTTATCGGTTATTCCATGTGAGTTGGATTGCTTGCGAGAAGTTCTAATTTTGAATTTAGTGCCATAACAAACTGGGCACTTAACGTACAAAACGTAAATATTACCTAGAAAGGTGACTGAAACACTGAACTTGATAAGTTACATATATATCTCTTGAAAAATCACAAATTTTTTGTTATGTATAATCGAAATATGAAGAATGTTTATATTCGACAGAAGTTAAACAGGTCAGAAGAATTTATGCTACTGGTTAGCCTGGGTACTACAATATATACAGATGGTTGGAAATCGTACATTCCATTATGTGAAATTGGTTACTGCCATCAAGTTACTTTTTCCACAAGGCACTTCATTCATCCGACAATTGGAATACACGTAAAAAACATTGAAATATATGGAGTCGTCATCAGAATTTCCTAAGACCATGAGGGGACCTGATTCAGTCCTTTAAATTCTAAATAAAATACCATTTTCTTGAATTATGATGTTATCATGTATAGTAATGATGGGCAGGGGCTAGGAGTGGAATCCAGGATTCGCATTTCATCCTATTTGGGACTCGTCAGCTGGATGTATCTGCCTCCCAGTGAGTGATATTTTTCCAGCTCGGACTCGGGAGCGATCGCTTCTAACGCCAGAGCGTTATCCATTACACTGGGAGGCAGGTACATTCAGCTGACGAGTCCCAAATTCGACGAAATGCGCATCCTGGATTTCACTGTTAGCCACTGCCCATCATTACTATACATAATTAAAAAGACACAGGCAATATCGACGCATCCGCACAGGAGCCTATATGCTAACAGAGACTAATTGATTCGGTCCAATCAGTGACGGTGTAATACAAGCAATAACACTATTATGATATCGTTTATATACTCGATTCTGATTGGTCACTGCATACTTGAACGTGATTGGCTGTCACTAAAGTACATTTGCACCAGTCTCTGAAAGTTATATAATCATGAGCTGACATCAGCTGGAGGAAGCATTGAAAACCTGGGATTAATGGACAGTTGTTTCGTTCCTAGTGCGGGACTTTTCGCCAATTTTCACGCGTTGACTCCGCCTAAACTAGGGCTCGAACCAACGACCTCTAGTATTCGTGACCAGGACGCTACCATTGAGCAGCTAATCACTGGGTCAGAATCCATATTTCTAACTTCTGTCAGTTCATGACATAGCGTGACCGCCACCTATTGTCATCGTTAAGTATTTGCCCCACCGGTCACGATTTCTCATTGACACTTAAGGAATCATCTCTCGAAGCTAGTCACCAATGAGCACCATGGTGAATACCGACTTTAAAAAAATCAGTAAATCGCCATGAAACCGCCAAATTAAACAGAACAAGAACTGCGTAATCATAGTTTCAATAACTAATTCAATCAATCTCAGTTCCACTGGATTAAATATATGTAGTTACACTTATATAATCATATTAGCATAGTTACAGTTGTATTTAAAGGTAGCCAATAGGAATTTGAGTGACTCTAAAGGTCATTCTAGCAACTGCTGAAGTAACCTATCAGATTTCGATATTTTAATAGGGAAGGTAGAAGGAAATCTAGAGACTAGTGTCTATAGAGAACCCACTCATTCGAATCGCTACTTAGACTTCGAATTCTCCCACCCCATTTCAGTTAAATTAGGCTTAGTTGAATGCCTAAGTCATAGAGCGTAAGAGGCTGACTAGTAGATCGGAAAATCTGCGACAAGAAATTAGACACATCAAGGATACCCTACGTCTCAATAATTACCCAACAAAATTTATAAATAAATTCATGAGAAATCGAAAGAAAAATATTAGCAGTGGTAGTAGTAGTAGTAGTAATACAGGTGTTATTAATAATAATTCCACTACTAATTGTAATAATGATGATAGGGTTGAGAGAGAATTGAAAGTCTCTGCTGTGTTACCATACAAGGAAGGCACCTGAGAAGCATTATGAAGAATTCTCAATAAGTCTGGGTAGGATTAAAGTGGCTGGCAGTGAAAGCAACAAAGTCGCTGAGAGAAACAAGCTTTGTAGGTTGAAAGATCCTATCGATGCGACTAAGCAAAATAATCTGGTATGCCGAATCCCTTGCAATGATTGTGAGGTCAAGTACATAGGTGAGTTGAAGTAGTCGACCAGGATTGATTAGAATAACAGAGCACAAAACCTTAGTTTAATCAAGAGATTATTAGATCCTAATAAGATAAGAAATTTAGAGAGAAGCTCAACTATAACTGTGCATGCGATGACACACAATCACACAGTTGGGTGGAGGAAGGGAGAGATTGGTAACGGAATCGGCGTTTATCGAATCAATACCAAATATATACAGTAACAGGAATGAATTACCCACCTGTGTCCCAAATATATGGAATATTCTATTATTCTTGTCATCACAGAGAAGGAAAGAGAATTAGGACTATATGAACTCTGTCTGAAAGTTGTGGAGTTAGTTACCTGCTAATATGACTATGAACAATAAATTGTGCTCGAAACGTTGTTATCCATTAAACGATGGTATTATTCCTTTACTATGTTTAACATTTCTAATTATAAACAAATTAAAGTGTTTTTTTTTTCATAATTTTTCTTTTCTGATTTTTTTTTTCTCATCATCAGCTTCTTATTCGAACTATCTCACGATCAATTCCTGGCCTATTACGTTTCTGTGTTTGTGCTCTCATTCTATTCTTTGCTTTCAGTCTATGCGGTTGGGTTGTTCTTGGTCCATATAATATTAAATTTCGTACATTTATGTCAACTGTTGAATGTTTATATAGCCTAATTAATGGAGATGATATGTTTGTTACATTCACTATAATTAATGAAAATGATCCAATGGGGATATATTTATTCAGTCGTCTATTTCTTTATCTATTTATTACATTATTTATTTATGTTGTATTAAATCTATTTGTAACAATTATATTCGAAGCATATGAAGAGGTAAAGGTAAGTACGAAAGCTATTATTATTATTTGTCCTTTGGGTTCCTAGTGGAACATTAGGGATCAGTAGCACGTCTCCATTCCACTCTCTTCTCTGTAATCTTATCAACCTCGCTCTACAACAGCCCAGAAGCTTTCATTTCTTCTTTGCATGATCTCCTCCATGTCAACTTCATCTAGCCGTTTCCTATGCCAGTTCCACTTGATAGTCTGGCCTGGCGCTTAATGTCCCCGAATGGTCTTCTCAGTGTATGCCCAATCCATCTCCACTTCCTTACACTGCATATCTGTTAGGTGATAGGTTCTTGCTTCGTTGCAAGCCAGCCAGAGTTCCTTGTTGCTTCTCCTTATTATTCTGACCATCTGATCTTCAGTAACGAGCCAGCGTAGGCAGTTGTTAATGAATATCTGTAGTTTGTTGCAAAGGAAGGCTGTGGTTGATCACTATCACTTTGATGATGATGTTTTTTAAAGGAAATACATGAATGAATCTCTGATATTGCTGATCCGCTGAATGTCACTTCTTCATAAATAAATAGACTAGTCAGTAATACATGTTTCAACAATAGGAAATAGGAAAAACATTGAATCTACGTTGTGTATATATGCATGCATACTGACTAGGTGATATTGTCAATTCATTTAGTCTTCTAGTTTAAGACGAAGATGATGTGACATTCAGCGCGAGAGAAGTAAGATGAATGAAACATTCTACTTTTGTATGTGTATCTAGGCAGCACTGTTTCAACTACAGGCGGCGGCACAGTCGAAGACGTCAAAGCAGCCAGATTCGGAAAAACAATAAGACAGGCGTTCATTAACCTGAAACCAGTGTGGAGATCCTCTGCACTCAGCATGTGTAACAACACCAGCGTAAACTCAGTGCTTCTGTATGGTTAAGAGACTTGGCGCGTTACGAAAAACATTTCCAACAAACTACAGACATCAACAGCTGTTTAATCTGGCTCGATACTGACACTGAAGATCAGATAGCCAGAAAGAATAAGGAACAAGGAACTCTAGCGTGGCAACGAACCAACCAATAACCTATCGCTCAACAAATATGCAGTGTAAGGAAGTGGAGATGGATTGAGCATGCACTGAGAAGACCATTCGGAGACATCACACGCAAGTTGAGGCCCTCGAATGGAACCCAGCCACTTCACTCTCTGGTTGTTTAAACACTAAGTCCTACCTGCTCTTGTAACCATTTTAGTACATGTTTCCCCTACCCTTAAGTGGATATCTCGATTAGTCGCCCCCCCCTTCCCCTACGTATGTGTGTCCAAACCAATCGTATTGTATATTCTCGCGCGTTTTTAAAATCATTACAACCTATCGCTTCGCAAGTTGATAGAAAATTCAGGCAGAAGCACCACTGTGGATGGCAATAAGCTCTGAAGCGTATAACCATAGATCAAATGACCATTCCGGAAATATTTGACACAAACTGCAGGTCGCTGCCGAATAAAGTTGATTACCTTCAGTCAGTCTTGTCCACAAATGTTTATCGAAACACGGGTGTAATAATGCTGCAGGAAACATGGCTTCATAACCTGTGTGATGATGACCTAGTCTGCTTAGATGGTTTCAACTTATTTAGACGAGATCAAAGCTTTTCGAAGAAGAAATATGATGGTGGTGTAGCAACATTTATTAGTACCAACTGGTCCCCCTCCAACTATGTATGCCTCTGCTTCTTTAATGGGAAAACTGGTTATAGCGGTGTTCGAACCCATGACTTTGCATTTACAAATGAACCTGGCATATATGAAGTCCGTAAATGGGCTCCACTGCTTAATTCCGACCACTGTATTGTTCGTGTTTTGCCTAAAGTGTACGGAAAATTACACAAGAAAGCTTTTGCATACCTTTCAAGGAAAGTTCAATACAGATGCTATTCACAAGAAAATACATTACGTTTGAGAAGCATGCTCATAGAAACGGACTGGGATATATTTGCTGATGAAGTTTTAGGCAACACTAATACCAATATCACAAGCTATCTTAGATTGTGTCTCGATATTTGCTGCCCTACTGAAACAATTTACAAGAGATTTGACAGACTTTCCTTCCTCTCCTCATCTCAAGAGGCCTCCGAGAGAAAAAGAAAGGTTGTATAAGGCGAGAGATCACCCTGGTGTTAAAAGGCCTAACTGCCTAATTAAGTCTGAAATACAACATCTGAATACTATATACAACCAGAAGTTCTTATCGTGTAAGGACTCTTCCAATATATGGAAATTATTTAATGAGCTTACTGGTAGAAGACAGATGACAACACAAACTCGTTCGGATGTCTGCGCGTTAAACAAGTTATTTATACGTCAGCAAGCATATTTTACCCTTCCTAATGTGCAAAATCAAGTGGATAGCTGCTTTCCAGGTTTCAATACAAATGATGTATTTATATGTCTAAAGTCTTTGAATCCTTCCCAAAGCTTAGGTCCTGATGGTGTTTCCGGTATCATATTTAGAAAATGTGCAGATATTTTGTGTCATCCACTTACAGATATCTTCAATGTATCCTTCTCTAAAAACATAATACCCACTTCTTGGAAGCAGATCGAAATTGTACCTGTGGCTAAGCCATCCTCTGGATCAGATGTTACTTTTCGACCCACCCCTATAACTTCCCCTTTTCTGAAGACAATGGAGAAGTTACTTCTCCTTATGATTGAGCCTTCATTGATCGCCTTCAGAGATCCAAAACAGTTTGCTTACAAACACTGGAGAAGTACTTTAGATGCATCTACCGTCTTGCATCATAATATTGTTTCTAGTTTCGACAAAGGTGTTGAGTATGTCCGTTGTGCCTTTTTAAATTACTTATCAGCCTTTGACTCTGTTCCCAGACCACTTTTGTTAAATAAGCTTGCCATAGCTCACACTGATCCATGGGTTACAAAATGGCTGCATTCTTATTTTTTTGAAAGCAAACAGTACATTATTCACAAAGGAATGCGCTCGATTTCATTGCTTACTGAAGCTGATGTGCCTCAAGGTACTGTACTTTCTCCGTCTCTATGCTCCTTCTTTTTTGCACGATTTACCTTATTCTGTTGAAACTAATTTTATCAAGTATGCTGATGACCTGACGGTTTGTATTCCAGTCAACTCTTCCTTAGATTGCTCTAAATTAATTGTTGTCTGAAGTTGGCGAATGGTCTCTCTCAAATGGTTTCAAACTAAACCCTTCTAAATGTCAGACTATTAATTTTACCCTCAGGCGTAAACAAGACTTATGTGAGCTGGTTAAATCTCATGACGCCTGTTACAGTACTGATGGTATTTCTGCAGAAAGTAAATCGTGTGTTAACTATCTTGGGTTGAGTTTTACTTCTGACCCTTGTTGGTTATCTCATATCTTGTTGACTTGTAAAAAAAATCTTTCGTTTAAGGTAATACGTAAAGAAACTGATGCTGTATGGTATAACTCGACCTCTACTTTCACAATTTATTAATTCCTACATTTTGTCTATTCCTCTTCTCTATTGTTCCCCGTTTACTAAAAAAGGACGATGTTATATTGTGTAGAACTTTGAAAGCGGTCGTTGAGCAGGGTGAGTGTTGTGCTGCTGGCTCAACTGATTAACACTGTAGTTGACAGACATATAAATTCCTGTAAGCAACTAGCTATAGTAATTTTAACTCACAGTGAGCATCCACTTCATTTACAGCTCTCTCCATGTATCTCCTCTGGGTGGACAAGGAGAAACTACATAAGACTGTAGGCTCGTACGGCTAGTTATAAGAATTCGACTGAACCTTACCTTGCACGTATATTTTGTGAGGAAAAAAGCGTTAGAACAGAAATCATACATCAACTTTGTGACAGTTAAAAATCTCATTTCAATAATTTAACTTACAATGCAAAATTTTCTCGTTTTAAATATTCTTCACATAACTTAAATTTTTATAATGAAACAATTCGAAGGGCTGCAAAGTAGTGTGTATATAGAGATATATTCTGTTGTTATTGCAATATATATTACGCTGAGAATTCCAAATTGTACCACAAATTGTTTGGAATGAAGTGAATTATTATTATTTCACGTTTATTTTATGCCTACTTATAAGTAGTTACAAGCTTAATCAATAAATTATTTATGATTTGGCAGATCAGTATTTATACTGGGTGATGATGATTGAAGGTGAAATGAAAATGTGAACCGCGGCCGGATTCGAACTAGTAACCACCGAGTTAGAATCTGGCCGTGGACCAGATTTTCATCTCACCTTCAATCATCACCACCCAGTATAAATAATTTATTTGACAATTTTTATGTCGATCAGCCGTTATTTGATGATGGTCTGATCTGATCAACAACTACCACTTAAATAATTTAGAAGTAGTATTCATCATGACTGACATCAGTCGGGGTACCATTGAAAATTTGGGAGCACTGGATACCTGTTTCCTACTCGTATGGGACTTCTCAGCAGTACGCAGTCGCGACGCGTTCGCCGTGAAACCCGAAGGTCCTGAGTTCGATCCCTAGTCGGGTCGTGGGTGGGTACGGCTGAGTGCCATACTAGAAGGAAACCCAGTACTCCCGGGTTTTCAATGGTTCCCCAACTGATGTCAGTCCATGATGAATACCACTTCTAAATTTAAAAAAATCCCCATCTCAAAAATACATTACTTAAATAATTTCCAAATTTCGCCTTGTTTTACAACTAGTATTGTCACTATTGCAAGAAAGGTTTATTGTCCATAGTCATAATAAGATAACTATACAACTTTGAGATATCCTTTATATAGTCCTACTTTCCTCGTCCCCCTCGTGATATACGTAGTAGGATTTCCCAAATATCCTGTACAATTGTCCAATCATTCCTGTAGCTGCATTTGTTAGGTGTTGATTTGGTAAACATAGATTCAGTTATCAATCTCTCCCTCCACCCTGTAATGTTAGTTGTATGGATTCTCACCCTGTCCTATCCTTTTGTGTGGTTGTATGTAACAGTATGCGTAGCTATGGCTGAACCTTTTTCTAAATT